GATGTACTGTGACTATGATAGAACTCATAAATACTCGTCAATGAAAGAGTGAATCAGTTATTGACTTTATTAATATTTGGAAGAATGCAAGCCTCAACTATAAAAAGAGGCTTAGTGAAACTTCTGGCATAGAGATGTTCATCCAAGGCATGCATTGTGGACTATGCTACATCTTGAAAGATATCAAGTCTATCACATTTGAAGAACTTGTGACTCGTGCCCACGACATGGAGTTAAGCATGGCCTCCGCTGGAAACGAAAGGCTGCCTAACTATGAGCCTCACAAAGGGAACGACAAGCAAGAAGTCAGGAAATGGAGCAAGTTGGTACCGAGGTCTGAAAACAAAGAAGCCATAAATGTCAACACATCACCTATAAAGTTAACGACGAAGGTGAGCAAGAAGCAGAGTATGAAATTCACTTCTTTTCAAGATAAGCCAAGTGGAAAGTTGACTATAATAGAAATGCAAGAGAAAGAGTACCCATTTCTGGATTCTGATGTGCCAGCTATTTTTGAAGATCTCTTCGAGTTAAATCTCATTGAGCTTCTGGAGATGAAGCGACCAAATGAAGCTGGGAAAACAAATTACCCAAATTACTGCAAATACCATCGACTTGTGATCCACACTCTAGAGAAGTGCTTTGTTTTCAAGGACAATGTTATGGACATGGATCGCGAAAAGAAGATCGTGCTTGAAGATGAGAAAGCAAGCGCAAACCAAGTCTCTATCACCTTTGGCTCATTCAGTCCGGATGATTTATGTGGTTTTAAAGAAAGTAAAGATGAAGAATTATTGGAGAACGACAAATTTGAAGTCAATCAACCTGATGATGATGAAGGTTGGACGTTGGTGACTCGTCGTAGGCACCACAAAAGGAGCCCACGAAAAAAATAAATAGAACAACCAATAAGGAAAATGATGGTGAAAAGACCAAGGAGATGGAATCCAGTTAAGCATTTAAAGAAAGTAGGGGTGTTACGGTTTGACGGAAAATCGAACCAAACTGATTAAGTAAACCGATATTGTTTTTTGATTTGGATTGGTTTTGGTGTTAAATTTTAAAAACCGATAATATTTGATTTGGTTTTGGTTCTATTTTAAAAGACCGAAAAATAAACCGAACCAAACCGATTAATTATATACAAAATTTAATAATTATTTATATACAATATAATATCTTTTTGTAAATAATTTTAATTGTTATTTTGAATTTTGGTTTATCCTGTTATATCTTAAAAGATTGCCTAAGCTCAAAACAATAGAATTCGACCAATTTTCTTTTCATTAATAGACTCTAATTCTCTAACCCTCCGCACATACTTTTGCCTAACATAAGAGTTTAAAAAAACCACCATAAGAGTAAAGAAAGCACATTCAAATTGCAAGACAACAATGGCTAAAGCTTGAGAAAGCAAACTTTTAGTTTGTTTTTTGTTCATTCTTTTCATATAAACAGGTAAATAAACTTTCAATTCTGAAAGAAATATATAAAAAAGCATAAATTTAGCAAATTATTTTCAGATTGTTGTCTAGCATTGTTTTACTATTATCGACTTATCATTAGCTTACTAAGAATTGAAAAATCGAACCAAACTGAACTAAATCAACAACAATCAAACTGATGGTTTGTATTTAATTTGGTTTGATTTTGGTTTTAAAATTTTAAAAACCGATAAAAATGGTTTGGTTTTGGTTTTAATCAAAAACCGACCAAACTGAACTGTGAACACCCCTAAAAGAAAGCAAAAGTGGAGGTGCACCGCCCTCAAAAGCCTCGATATCTAGTGACCTTGGAGGAGTTTCTACCAAGTTGGTTATGCATGAAGATTTCCCATGGGGGTGTTGATGCCTCTTGTTGCCACGCTGACAAAGGGGAAAAAAGAGTGATGACCTATTGTTGCCACCATCTTCGGAAAAGCTCATCAAGTCCACTCCTCAAGAAGTTAATGCTTGTGAGGAAAAAGTTACATTCACGAATGACGATTTTCTACTGGGTGACACTCTTCACAACTGCCCATTATACCTGGTTGGCTATATGCGCGATGAAAGAGTAAATCGAATTTAGGTTGACGGAGGATCCTCAATGAACATCTTGCCAGTTCGCCCTATAAAAGAACTTTGCATTCCCATGAACGAACTCTTGGAAAGTCGTGTGATGATTCAAGAATTCAAGCCAGGGGGGCAAAGATCCATAGGTGCAATCAGGTTGGGAATCACCACTGAAGATATGCAATCAAGTGCATGGCTGCATGTGATCGATGCAAAGACTCCATGCAACGTCGTGCTTGGAAGGCCTTGGATACATGAGAATAAAGTGGTTCCATCTACCTACCATCAATGTTTGAAATACTACGAATGTGAAGTCGAGAAGAAGATAATTGTTGATGATGAGTCATTCACCGAGGCTGATTCACACTTCACCGATGCAAAGTTCTACTTGAAGAACCGCATTGTAAAGGAACTAAAAGTTGATAATGTCATGAATGACAAGGATGACGAGTCCACAGGTAAGAGAGATGAGGTGGTTGCCAACAAAACCAAAGTAGTTGCTGTGAAGGTACACCCAAACCAAAATAAGTCTCATAAAGGGAACATTGTGTCTCACGGCAAGAAAGTAACTCCTCCGCTCCAATACGTCCGTAAAAAGAAGAAAGATGAAGATGAATCATCTAATCTCAAAACTAACATGCTAAAAGGGTTAAATCTTCCGGTCAAATGAATTGAGGCAGTAAAGTCATCCTCAATGTCGCTTGCAGGGTTTGTGGCCCAAAATCGTCAACAGAATATGGCACTCCCTACAAAGTGAATAGATGAAGGTTTTGATCCTAACGCTTACATGCTATTTGCAAAAACTGGATACAATCCCAATGAGCCATCGAAGTTAGGAAAGCTCCCATCGGAAGCTGTAACGAGATAACCACGTAAAGGTTTGGTATACAAGAAACCATCACCAGTGCGCATATCTATAAGAAGGGTGAGCAACAATTATATCACTGTAGAAGACGAATTTGTCACTTCTAACAAGCCTTCTGTCTTTGATCGACTTGGGAAATCAACTGTGAGGGCTTCCGTGTTTGAGAGATTGGGTCCATTAAAGAAGGGGAACAAGTTCCAGAGAAATTATCAAAATACAAGAACACATGCTTCGCCCAAAATTCAGAAGATCTCTAAGGATTTCCAAAGTCTAGTTCCTCCTAGAATAAGGCGACAAACAAAAGTCATGGTTTCGTGTGATGAGGTACTAAATGTGAAGCCATACATGGTGGTCTACACTAAAGAACGTGATGTAGACGAAGAAAGTATGGGTTCTCCGTATCATGTTACTGTACAAGGTGAGAATGGTGTTCCATCTTCAATGGAAGATGTTTCACTGTGTTATCACATATCCTTCAATGGTGGGGACCCTCAAGAAGATGAAGATGTAAAGGATTCTCCGCCTGAACTTGAAGAAGGGGTAAAAACAACAATGGATGCTTTGAAAGAAGTAAACCTTGGCACTAAGGAAGAACTTAGGCCTATTATCTAAGTGTTTTACTAGCAACCGATGAAGAAAGCACTTTCATGGAGTTAGTCAAAGAGTTTAAAGATGTCTTTTCTTGGAGTTACAAAGAGATGCTTGGCTTGGACCCTAAAGTAGCAGTCCATCACATTGTAGTCAAGAATGGCACTCGCCCTGTTAAACAAGCTCAAAGGCGCTTTAGGCTGGACTTGGTTCCCTTGATTGAAACCGAAGTTAACAAACTCATCGAAGCTGGCTTTAATCGTGAAGTTAAATGCCCAACATGGGTTTCAAGTATTGTCCTTGTAAGGAAGAAAAATGTCCAGATTTGAGTGTGCGTTGACTTCAGGGATCTCAACAGTGCGTATCCCAAAGATGAATTCTCGTTTCCTATTCTAGAGTTGATGATCGATACTACTACTGGGTAAGAGGCAATGTCATTAATGGATGGTTCGTCAGGCTATAACCAAATTCTCATGTCACCAAAAGATGAAGAGCTTACTGAATTCCGCAACCCCAAGGGTATTCATTGCTATAGGGTAATGCCTTTTAGATTGAAGAATGCTGGTGCTACTTATCAAAGGGCTATGCATAATATGAAGACCTTCTCCGCAAAAATGTCGAATGCTATGTGGACGACTTGGTGGTTGAATCAAGAAAGAGGAGCGACCACTTGAAGGACTTGAGAATGGTGTTTGAGTTGCTCCGGAGATACCAACTTGGGATGAATCCATTAAAATGCGCCTTTGGAGTTACTTCTGGAAAGTTTGTTGGTTTCATTTTCCGACATTGAGGGATTGAAATTGATCAACCCAAAGTAGATGCAATCTTAAAAATGCCCGAGCCTCAGGATATTGACGAATTGAAAAGTATGCAAGGAAAGTTAGCGTACCTTAGGAGATTCATCTCAAACCTAGCTGGGACGTGCCAACCATTCAGTTGCCTTATGAAGAAAGGTGTCCCTTTTAATGAGACCAAGCGTGTAGCAATGCCTTTGAGAGCATTAAATCCTACTTGATGAAGCCTCCAGTTTTAGCAGCCCCTACCTGGAAAGCCATTGATACCATACATTGTCGCGCAAGAAAGGTCTATTGGAGCACTGTTGGCCCATGATAGTGAGGGGAAAGAAAACTCTCTTTACTACTTGAGCAGGATGATGACACCAAACGAGTTGAATTATTCACCCATTGAAAAGTTGTGTTTGGCGCTAGTCTTCTCAATTCAAAAATTGAAGCACTACTTTCAAGTTCATTCTGTTCATCTTGTTTCTAAAGCAAATCTCATCAAGTTCGTGATATCAAAACCTGTTCTTAGTGATCGACTAGCGAGATGGTACCTCCAATTTTAATAGTTCGAGATTTTGTACATCCCTCAAAAGGCTGTAAAAGGACAACATTGTAGATTTCTTGGCAGATCACCCAATACCTGATGATTGGGAGCTAACTGACGAACTACCTGATGAGGATACAATAGTCATTGAAGTTTAACCTCCATGGAAGATGTACTTTGATGGCGTTGCACATCGCGGAAGAGCTGGTACTGGTGTAGTATTTGTCACCTCTCAAGGTGAAGTTCTGCCCTACTCTTTTATGTTAACGCAACTTTGCTCTAACAACGTTGCTGAGTATCAAGCACTAATACTTGGGCTTGAAATAGATGTCGAAATGAAGTGGTTGCAATTGCAAGTCTTTGGTGACTCTCAGTTGGTGATCAACCAGCTTTTAGGTAGTTACGAGGTCAAGAAACCTGAACTACGCCCATATCATGATTATGCTAAAACTTTAATGGGGTGGGTCGGTGACGTGACTATTAAACATGTGCCAAGGAAAGAAAACAAGAAGGCTGATGCTTTAGCTGCCCTAACTTCATCGATAACTCTGTCTGATCAAGCGCAAGTTACTGTCTATCAAAAATAGGTAGCACCGCCACCAAATGAGGCTGGAAGTGAAGAAAATGATCTCAAGCATATTCTCACGGTTTCTGAAGCTGAGAAAGAAGAATGGCGACAACCCATATCGACTACTTAAGCTATGAGATACTTCCAGAAAATCTAAGAAGAAGGACTGAGATCCGTTGTCGTGCACCTCGCTTTCTTTACTACAAAGATACTCTATACAGAAGGTTATTCGAGGGAATACTCTTGCGATGCTTAGGGGAAGAAGAAGCATTCCAAGCTTTGTAAGAGGCATATTCTGGGGTATGTGGATCACACCAGTCTGGAGCAAAGCTCCAATTTTATATAAAAAGGATGGGATATTATTGGCCAACTATGGTAAAAGATTGCTTGGACTACGCTCGAAGATGCAAGGCTTGTCAATTCCATGTGAATTTTATTCATCAATCTCATGAAGTGTTGCACCTGATTGTGGCATCCTGGCCATTTGACACTTGGGGATTAGATGTGTTGGACCACTGCCAAAGTCCTCTGGTGGGCACCTATACATCTTGGCTGCAACTTGACAACTTCTCAAAATGGGCTGAAGCTGTTGCTCTTAAGGAGGTAAAGAAGGAAAGTGTTGCAAGTTTCATCCGAGTAAACATAATCTGTCGCTTTGGCATTCCTCATTACATAATATCGGATAATGGAAAGTCATTCTATAATAGGTTGATGGACAAGATTTGTGATCTCTTTGGCTTCAAACAACGTAACTCTTCGATGTACAATGATGCCGCCAATGGTCTAGCTGAGGAATTCAACAAGACTTTATGCAACTTGTTAAAGAAAGTCATCTCCAAATCCAAACGAGATTGGAATGACCGTATGGAAGAAGCTCTATGGGCATATAGGACGACTCACCGTACGTCAACACAAATGACCCCTTATTCACTCGTTTATGGAGTCAAAGCCGTCTTGCCACTCGAGCATCAAACACGTTCATTACGACTAGTTATTCAAGAAGGGATCACTAATGAAGAAAATGCTCGACTTCGATTAGCAGAGTTGGAGTCTCTTGATGAGAAGAGGTTGGAAGTTCAACAGAGTCTTGAATGTTACCGAGCTCGATTGTCTTGCGCCTTCAATAAAAGAGTTCGCCCGAGATCCTTTCTAGTAGGAGATCAAGTCAGTGCCATACGAAGACCAATTATTACTTCCCATAAACCTGTAGGGAAGTTTACTTCAAAATGTGATGGGTCATATGTCGTACAAGAAGCTTACTCAAGTGGGCTTACAAACTGGTTGATGCATATGGCATGAGAATTGGCCCTATCAATGGCAAGTTTTTGAAGAAGTATTATCCTAGTTGCAACGCTCCTTGACGCATGAGCCTAAACTGCATGTTCCTACACTCCCGGCCCACATGAGTCTAAACTGTGTATGCCTACAAAAAAAAAAGTCTGCTAGGTTGAAAACCTCGAAAGAGACGGCCTAGGAAAAAGTTAGGACAATAACCAATTCTGAACTGCGGTATGACTTGATCCTCTTCACCAAGGTACGTAGGCAACTTAGAGTTTCATTCTGAGTTCAGTCGCATAAGTTCAAAAGATACATAACCCCCAATCTTCGTCCGGTTGAAGTACAATGTAGTGTAATTCATTCAATCAGCACTTGAAAATCGAGTTGAGATACCATTCTTCTGTTAAACTTTGGATCCCATTTAATTTCAAGGGGGCAACCCTCCATGGTAAATTGTTATCTTCAATGGGATGATTTTAGGAGGATGCCAAGGATTTGTGCTGAAATGCGGGGGTTCACTATGTCTTCGTGTTCGCCAAATCTTTAAGTCTGCCGGTCTTCAAGTCGAAATATTTAAGCCTTCAAGTCTTCAAATTGAGGTCCTAAAACTCGCCGGTCTTCAAGTGGAAGTATTTGAGCCCTCAAAGTCTTCAGGTTGAAGCGTCAGAGTCCGCTGAATCTTCAAGTCCATCAAATCTTCAAGTTTGTCGGTCTTCAAGTTGAAGCCTGCAAAGTCCGCCAAATCTTCAAAGTTTTCCAAGTGTTCAAGTCGACGTCGTCAAGTCCACGAAGTCTCGAGTTGAAGCTTTATAATTTTTCAATCTTATGGTGGATATATAAGTCCCTTTGCACCTTAAGTTGGCCTCTTTGTGGGGTTGCCCTTAAAAGGAAATTATAACTTTCCATTCTTAAGGTGGACATATAAGTCCTTTGCACCTTAAGTTGGCCTCTTCGTGTGTTTGTCCTTAAAAGTAAAACTATACTTTCCAATCTTAAGGTGGATATGTAAGTGTCTGGAGAGTAATCTCTCCGATAGTCGAGCCACATTGAGAGTAATCTCTCTGATAGTCGATGCACATTGAGAGTAATCTCTCCGATAGGCAGGGCCACATTGAGAGTAATCTCTCTGATAGTCGATGCACATTGAGAGTAATCTCTCCGATAGGCAGGGCCACATTGAGAGTAATCTCTCCAATAGGCAGGGCACATTGAGAGTAATCTTTTCAATAGTCAAGCCACATTGACAGTAATCTCTCCGATAGTCGGGGCACATTGAGAGTAATCTCTCCGATAGTCGAGCCACATTGAAAGTAATCTCTCCGATAGTCGGGGCACATTGAGAGTAATCTCTCCGATATTCGAGCAAGGATGAGTACTCATCCCCTCAAACCCTAAAATCACCATCTTCATGCAAGAACTCATCCTACTATTCTTGGCCTAAAAAATTCAAAAGAAAAAAAAAAACTAAGGAAGGAAAGCAAAAGTAAAGAAGAAAAAATTACCTTCGTGTCAATGCTTCCGAATCGTCCAGCTAACCGTAGCTCGCCGACGTTGTTGATACTAATTGAATGAAAGACATTTGGGTATTTATATAGCTTCGGAAGATGGATATTGAAGAATCAGTGTCGATGTGGGATCCGTGATTATTAGTGTTGAAAAAGAACTAGGTATCCTATTCCTAATTCAATTGGAAAAGCTGAAGGCGGTGAAGGTCTCTTACCTACGTATACGTTTGGTTGAGATGTAAAGATTCAGTACTACTAGAATTTGAGACATTGCAATAACTTGCTAATATGTCCACAACCGTAGGGTGTACATGTTTAAAGATTCTTGCATTTTCTAGGCTTAAGTGGAAGGCATCGAAGAAAATCCAATTCACTTTAACTTTAGCAATATTTGCTATCAGTTAATGTGACAATTCTTTGCTACTTCACGTGACCATTTTATACTTAGAAGTCTGACAGCGTTGTGAGGTTTTATCTAACCTTGCAAATGTATAAGTTCTAATGCGAACATTGGAGGATGTATACTCAGAGGCGGATTCAGGAATTAAATCTTATGGGTTCAATTTTAAGGGCTTTTAACATTGAACTCATTGTATTTTTAAATTTATGGGTTCATATCTATTATTTATGGGTTCAGTTGAACCCGTAGGTTATACGCTGCATCCGCCCCTATACTTCAAGTCTCGTCCGCATAATTCGACAAGCCTATATCTCAACAAGTCTTCAAGTAGGAGGCATTTATATGCTTATAAATTTTGTTGAAATTAAATTCGTAAAATAATTTGGACTATATTCTAAATCAAGACATATTAGTTCAAATAAACTTATTGGACTAATATAATTGAATTAATTATATAATCATATATATATGGACTAAAAAATAAGTCCTAACTCATTGGGCAAATCCATTTAATCGGGCTAAAGTGATGAGCCCACTACATTAAGCCCAATATGCCATCTTCCTAGAGGCCTAGTGCCATGTGTCAAATGACGTGGCACGACAAGTCAAACTAAAGAGCCAATGAGATCATGCCACGTGTCAAAATGTAAAGGCATGCCAAGTCACATTAAAAGGCCAATGACCGCGCCACATGTGCAAGTGACATGTTCTGGCCAATCAAATGCGGCCTTGTCACACTTCAATTTGATTGGTCGGAAAGAGTATATTCTTATCAACTCTTCCCTCCCACAACTATAAATCGGGGTCTTCATAGCCCATAAAAGGCACCAGAAGTTATAACAAGAAGCAAGAAAAAGCTCGTGGATCAAACGCTGCAGATTCCTCCACAAGTTTCAAGCTTCAATCAATCAAGTTCAAGCTCAAGAACGAAGAACAAATCAAGTTCAAGCTCAAGAACGAAGAACAAATCAAGGTCAAGTTCAAGCAATCTCAAGCTCAAGAACAAGATCAACATTCGTGGCAACAACTACATATTCAGGATCAATCTCAAAAACTCTTAAATTTATTTACTATTGGAAAGAAGAATCAGAGGATTTATAGAGATTGTACACTCATATCATTTGAAATAAAATACTACGATTGTTACAATATTTTTCGTCTTATTTTGTTTTTTGACACAATTTTATTGACTACAATATCACTTTCTAGCACCTAATATGGATTCATGTTCTTTTAATGCTTTTAACTATTACCTAAGTGTAAATCTACCTCGTACTTTTCTTTCTTTAATCGGATGTGACTACCTAGAGTACTTCACCATTGTTGTATATAATATTTCTCGATAATAAATTGAATGTTAGACAATATTAGCTAAAATATGTAAATACTTAGGTGGCATTTGTTTCAAAAATTAAAAGAAAATTACTGAAAAACAAAATCACCATTTTTCAAACAAACGCGAAGTTTTCAAAAAAGTATGCTCCATACTTTGAAAGTGAGTCAAAGGCCACTACAACAATATCTAACTCTTGAGAGACAGGTTAAGCAATTGTAATATTCAATGATCTTCAGGTTTTTAGGGTAGAGTTTTCCTTTTCGCACTCGAGTAAGAGTTGTGATATAGGATGTACAGAGATGTAAATATATTCCCTCGTATTCTTCCTTTTGGGGTATGAGACCAGTCAGTCTTTATCTTCTTGTTTGACAAGTCTTCGTATGATGTAAAGTTGTAAACTATTACACTACTTTTTACTAATTTGGATATTTCTCATCTAGCCTGGAATATAAGATAAAGAGGCATATGACAACCAGCACTGGATGATTTTGTTTTCTGATAGTCTCTAAACCACTAAAGCCAAGGACTTATCAAACAAAAATTAAGCGAAAGCCTCGCACAAGTTTTCCTCTTTAAAGTTACAACAATAAAACCCATTGTAATCTCAGATTGTGGAGTTTGGGGGTAAAGTGTACAAATAGAGAGACTATTTCCGAAAAACCCTAGGCTCAATTTTCGACAAGTTTGAACAGAAGAACTTTCCTCTCTAAAGTTGCATGGCATTATTCACATACATAAGTAATCGACATACCAACAGTAGCGCAGCAGCACCACAAGTATTACTAAGCTTCAAAGTTGACTTAGAAATATATTGGACGGTCCATACAAGATAGAAATCTCAAGACAAAGCAAATACTTGTACTTGGAAAAACACAAGACACTGTCATCCATTTAACTCCGGACTCGGTTCGTCATTCAGTTGCTTTTCCTTTGCTGCGTCTGCTGCTACTGCTGGTTTCTACAAGATAACAAACCATAGAATCCACATCGTCCCCAAATAAGCTATAAGCCTCAATTACTCGTGGATAGCTAAAACCCATCGACAGCATAATCTGGATGCAGTCGCTAAAGGTGGAATCTGGCAAGCAGAGCCCATCTTCCTGCCGTTTCTCACTTCCAGATGACCCTACAATTCAATGTTAAAATTTACAGTTCAAACCCGCAAACTTATTGATCTTACATCGATAGAGGTGCAACCTAGAAAATAATGTAAGATACTTTAAACTTCATCAAATGTAAGCTCAAACTTACTAGCTCCTGAAGATGACGGCTCAGCTCCGGATGTGGAAGACTCTTGACAACCAAGCTGTTGTCTAAACCTATCACGAGCAATATACTCAGCCCTAGAAGCTTCGATCACCATGCGTTCCATCTCCTTTTCAGTGAGCTCAAGATCTGAGTAGAAGCGTCCTTCAGCTAGAAGCGCCTGAAATGGGACCATTTAACCAAATAAAAGACCACATGAGCATCTAGTTGTTGGAAATCATTCCATGAAATTGAACTTTCTAGGTACTTAACGTTATCAATCTGTTGGTCCTGTTGAGCTTTAATTGCAGCTTTTACTTTATCCTTGTTGACGTTTGTCTGCAGGAGAAATAAAAAATATATTTCTGAAACTAACATATAGGTTTGCAAAGAAACAACATATCATATATAAAAGACTAATGATGACAATCTAAAGATAATATGTAAAGAGAAACATCAGCTTCACTAAGTTATCGCATTACAGGACCGCAAAGCGATTAACATGATTGTTTGCAATTCGAGAGTTTACCCCTTGCAGAGAGCTAAACCCAAGCCCAGCACCAACTGTTAATCGGCGAGGATCAACAAGGGAGTTGTAATGATTTCCATGATGATAACTGAGACGGATAGGAGGGCTGTCTGAGTTATAACTTCCATGGAACGTGTTCATTGGTTCTGCACCAGCAAATTCCACAATTTAATGCAAGCAACTAACAGAGACAAGTTCACAAAGCTGAGCATCACGATCATCACATCATCTCATTTTACAAAGAACAACCAAAAGTCAGGAAGCGAATTTACCGTTGCTGTAAGAATATATATGGATAGGGCGGTTATACATTTCAGATAACGCTTGGATTTCCACATTGTTGCCGTAAACCTCCAACGCAGTAATGAAAACATTAGTCTGGTTAGTCTGACAAAGAACTGACAAACAAAGAAGGATAGGCACACAGATAAATGGATGGATAATAGATAAGCAAAACACGATCCACGAGAGCGACAAATAGCAGAAGTCTTTAAAAGAAATGGATATTTGCAGTCCATATGAGTCCTTTAATCTAATCTTTTCCTAGAAAGTAAAGAAGTAACCTAAGAAAAATCAAGCAGCAGAAACCAACATAAAATGATCGAAAACAGAAACGCTGGTGCAGGTAGACTGAACACCCCATTTTTCTCGGGATAGGTAAATAGAAAGGAAATTTTAAATATTCATTTAAGGGGTAAAAAACACAAAATTTAACCACCGTCCTCCACTCAAACGAAAATAAGGAACTGAAGATACAATGGGCAATACAACATACGAGATAATCATATGCATCATAAAGAAATTAGCAAATAACTAACAGTAGAATATAAACGTTAGAGGTTCCGATGAGAGTAGTATACTTAGCAGTTTGAAATTATTCACCAAACAACTAAAGAAAAGTGAATTCACATCGCAGTAACCAGATATTTTTTCTGGGTAATCTCTTCATCATTTTTGTGTTGGATTTGACATAGTTCCGAAAAACACTAAAACTGTCTCTAATGACCATCACCTAGAAAATGCATCATCCTGCATCCTGAGAGATTCTATCAACAGATACCAATTTTTTCGGTTATGCGTAATGCTCCAATTCTGCTTGCGCCAAGATAGGACAGAAGCAACATAATGACTCGGAGAGAGAATTTCTGAATAACCACATAACATACCTTGTCTCTCCTTTTTCTCTTGCAATAGGATGTGAATCCTTCAGTTATAAACTGAGAAAAGTGGTCTCTTTCGCGCTCCTACAACAGAAGATGCTCATCGAATAAATAAAGAGACAGTAAATAAATTATAAGGCTGTGCAGAAAACCATATAAATGATTAAGAAACAGACGCACCAACAATATACACAAAGGGAACAAAAGGATACGAGATTATGCATCAAGCCCATAGATTTTAACCTCTATTCAGCGGAACTTCCAATACTGACTTATGCAAGAAGACGACATCATGAAACGGAAACCAAACAGTAACAATATGCACTTTTACATCTTCCATCCCCCATGCCCCAACCAGAAGCGAATAACAAGGCACCATAACCTTAACTCTAGATAATGTAACTCTAGATAATGTTTTAACCTCTTCTTTTTATTATCTTAGAGCACACCAAACTGTAGGATAACTTTCAAATTTAACCGTCACTTGGCTAGATGAGGTTTAGTACCTTAGCTAACTGTAGAGAAAGGTCCCTCAACTTCTAATGCTAAATGAACTGCAGGCTTCCTTCCACTAAACCATTAAAATGATGGAAAATGGTTACATATCTTGGAAGAGAAAGGAAAAATGGAGTCTGGCACGAAACTTAGAACATTTCCTCTTACAAAAAACCACCACTATTTACACATCCTAATCCCTATAACCAGAAACTAAACTAAGCCTGCCCTGCCACCCTCAAAGAAAAATA